GTATGTATGTATGTATGTATGTATGTATGTATGTATGTATGTATGTATGTATGTATGTATGTACGAATGCAGACATGCGTGCATTGAGAGTGTGCTTTATCCAAGGTTTTCAGCTCAGGAATTGGAAAAGCTAAAAGGCTGAAATTTTAGGCGGATGTTCCATAACTGTCTGCAGTAAGGTTTAAATTCAGCTTGCACGCATGTACGGATATATGAAGTTTTTAACAGCAAAATCACTAACGCGGGAATCAGAAAATAAAGAAACTGCAGTTTTAAAAGGATTCTTTCTAATGTAGCGCATTTGCGCCTTCACTGTGGTTGATGGAGTAAGTTACGCAAAACGAACAAAATGGAACATTTATTGTTGGATTTATGACGAATAGAAAACATAAGCAATATGATAAAATACTCGGTCATGAGGCAACTGCTCAAGAAGTATGGATCGAGTCTACTGAAAAATCTTTAATGTGATCACAAAGAAGTAAGGAACTGCCGAAGGACCGAAGGTGACGGGCTGAAGACGGTGAGAGTGTCCGAAATGCTGTGAGTTGAAGAACTGAAAGTAGACGAAGTGCGATAGTCTCGCTTCTCAACTGAGGATCGGAGTGAAAGTGACGAGATTTTTATAGGATGTTGAAAAACACCTTGTCGCCTTTCGACGATTTGGTGTGAATAGCGTTAAGCGCATCCTGAGAAAAGTATTATGTGAATTATGCACGACGGTAAAAGTTACATGAGAAAAATCGCCGTCTGCGATAAAAAGGAAAGATTAAATACCACACAAAAGCCACATAAAAACTACGTAAAATATTTTAACATAAAAACGATATGGTTAATGCACATAAAAATTTATTTTAACATTTTGTATAAAATATGCAGTGGCCATTAGGCGATAGCCCATGTGGGACTACAAAAATTTAAGCTCAACCTTGAAGAGCACGCACGGATGCTGAAAGTTTTGACAGGAAATTTCCCGCCTCAGAAACTGGGCAAGATGGGAAGCCGGAAATTTAGGATCATGTTTTCTTTTAATGTGCAATCCAGGAATTTCGAATTCGGTTTTCTTGTTCGTTTGTACCACACGTGCAAATACATTAAATTTCATGGAGAAGTTTTCATTTCGGGGACCTGAAAAAATAGCTAAAATTTT